CCCCCCCCCCATCCGCTCCCGGCGGCTCACGCTGCCTGACTGATGGGACCGGCCGTCCCTCCTTGCCCCTCCCCCTCCTCGGAGCCGCCGTAGTCGCTTCCAGGGGGAGGAAGCGGGCTCAGGGACCCGACGGACCAATCGGGATCCCGAGACGCGTCGGAAGTGGCTAATCAGAACCCGCCGGCGGGGTGGAGACTCCGTCGCTGAAGTGAAGCGAGAGAAGGGAGGGGGACTAGAATAGAGTGCTCGCCAACGGCCTACTCTCCAGGCCGACCCGCCCCGCGCAGCCGCATCCAATCACAAATCTTAGGAGTGGAGATGGAGCCAATCAGGTCCAATCAGGAGGCGGGGACGTCGGCCCTCCACTAGAAGGGATAGAGGCCGAGAAACGCAAACCCCGGTCCTCTTCCAACGAAAACCAATCGCAAGCCAGATGCAGGCGAGTGACTGTCAAGAAGGCCAATTAGCCCCTCCAGAGGGAACCTGGCCCGGCCTCTTCTCTGAGGGACTGCTCTACCTACCAATAGCATGGGCGAGAAGTCTGTCCCTTCGCTAAGGAGGAGGTGGGTGAGCTAGAACTTTGAGGTTGAGGTAAAGAATGTGAGCGCGGCACGCTGGGCTGGCTGGAAGCAGTGCAGGGATTGCAGTAGTGTGTGCGAGCTGGACGTGTTAGGGAGCGAGCCAGCTTTGCGGGCGCCAGGGTGACCGTAGGGATGGGGGGAGCGGGAGGCAAGGTGATGCCTGAGGCTAGTGTACAGGGGGTCGTTGCAGCCGAAGGGTCCGTGGATGCCATTCTGGCTGCGGAGACCGAGGCCCCGCGACAATCTCCGGAGTCCGGGCGGACCTGTGGCTTCCCAGGGGCTGGAAAGGCCCAGCTCACCTAACTCCTCGAGGGAGGGTTAAGGGAGACCGGGAAAGCCTCGAAAATACCGCCCGGCCTACACCCCTGCCCAAAGGAGCGCGCCTGGGCAGGAATTGTGACGATCAGACCTGGGGGGTTAGTCTAGAAGGGACCACCCCACCTAGAAGAAGTCCTCCGTTTTACAAATGAGGAAACTGAGGCGGAGGGAAGTCGATGAGCTGTCAAGAGCAAACAGCAGGTTACTGACAGCTCACACTAGAAGCCAGGCTTCCCGCTGCATCAGCTTTTGCGGTGGACTTTTTTCTGTTCGTACCCTCTTCTTTGCCTCCCGAGGTGAAATGGAGTGGATCAACGGGACCCAGTTACAAGAGGAAGCTGCAGATACTTGCTCCGTCTGCTGAGAGATCTTAGCATCCTGTCAGGTGGCATAAGGACCTAATACAATCCACTTCATTGGTTAATAGTTGCCAAGCCACAAATAGCTGAAGGTTCTTTCCCATAAGTCACATCTCACACGTTGACATTCCGAAACGTTTATCAAATTATTAAAATTCCATCCTACGTGTCCCAAACGAGCTGTTTACTAGTCTCTCTGAATAAGGGAGTTTGATTGGATAGTTGACCGTCTTTTAGCTAACACGGAAAACAAATGAGTCTATAATACTATGCAGCTGAGGGCTGGTTGTCCAGGCCTGGATTCCTCAGTTCCTGGGAGAGCCAGCCACCCCTTGGATGGATTGGTGTAGATCCTCTGCCCCTATGTGGACAGACACAGCCCCAGCTCCTGCTGTTTCTCATCCATGTCATCCCTCTCCCCCCCATAAGAGTAAGTTAATAGCTTAGACTTCGGGAGATAACCTAAGCTTTCAGAGTAAATCTGTCCCTTTCTTCCACCTTAAGAGGTTGCCCTTCATACATGCAGTCATGTTACTGTCCCAGGAAAGCAGTCTGCTTTTGGATGTGTTTTGCCTGAGTCTGTGCTCAGCTGTGCCCACTTTCATGTGATGCCTGCTTTCATGAGATAGATGGTCTAATTAGCAGGGTCACCTTGCCCCCTCACCTGTCAAACTGAGTTTATACCGTTTTTTTTTTTTTTTTTTTTTT